ACAGAGGCACTGAAAGGTCCGGAAGCTTGTCCAAGCCTCCCCAGCTAGTAAGTGGTGGAGCCAGCAGGACTCAAACCCTGGCAACGTGGACCGTCACTTAAGAAGTTTCTGTCAGGCACAAGACATGAACAGACATTTCTCCAAAGAAGACATCCAAATGGCCAACAGACCCATGAAAAAGTGCTCAACATCCCTCGGCATCAGGGAAATCCAAATCAAAACCTCAATGAGATACCACCTCACACCAGTCAGAGTGGCTAAAATTAACAAGTCAGGAAACGACAGACGTTGGCGAGGATTCAGAGAAAGGGGAACCCTCCTACGCTGTTGGTGGGAATGCAAGCTGGTGCGACCACTCTGGAAAACAGTACGGAGGTTCCTCAAAAAGTTGAAAATAGAGCTACCCTACAACCCAGCAATTGCACTACTGGGTATTTACCCCAAAGATACAAATGTAGCGATCTGAAGGGGTACGTGCACCCCAGTGTTTATACCATCAATGTCCACAACAGCCAAACTGTGGAAAGAGCCAAGATGTCCATCAACAGATGAATGGATAAAGAAGATGTGGTCCATATATACAATGGAATATTACGCAGCCATCAGAAAGGATGAATACTCAACTTTTACATCAACATGGATGGGACTGGAGAAGATGATGCTAAGTGAAATAAGTCAAGCAGAGAAAGTCAATTATCATATGGTTTCACTTATTTGTGGAACATAAGGAATGGCATGGAGGACATTAGGAGAAGGAAAGGAAAAATGAAGGGGGGGAAATCGGAGGGGGAGATGAACCATGAAAGACTATGGACTCTGAGAAACAAACTGAGGGTTTTAGAGGGGAGGGAGGTGGAGGGATGGGTTAGCCTGGTGATGGGTATTAAGGAGGGCATGTGCTGCATGGAGCACTGGGTATTATCTGCAAACAATGAATCGTGGAACACTACATCAAAATCTAATGATGTAATATATGGTGACTAATATAACATAATAAAAACTTTAAAAAAAAAGAACTTTCTGTCACATTTTAGGACTCCTCAATGTCATATTCCGCGCCTGTGGCCATGGCAGTCTGAACGCTCTCAGACGAAGACTGGAGACACACAGGGGCTTGTGAATCTTTGACCTTGTGCGCCAGGTCATTCCTGCACAGCTTTAAGAGTTCCATGGGGGGAAGCAAACTTCCTTCACACCTGAGATGCATGACGAAATGATAGGCTGTCTGGAGTGGGGGAGCAGGTGGGGGTGCCCACGAAACCAGACTGGCCGTGGGATTCGGTGATGGGAATAAGCAGGTTCAATATACTATTCCCTCTTCTTCTGTATAAATGTGCACACTTCCAATTTTAAGACTTTAAATTGTTTAAACAAAATAAAATTAAGTCCATGACTATCATAAAACCCACACAGGTAGCCCCAGGGCTTCTATCTTCTCTGTGTCCAAATCCATTTCCTTCTCTTTTGCCTTGACTACTCCCATTCATTTTGCCCTTGCTTTTCAGCTAGAAATGGTCAGCTCTGATCGGTAACCTCCTTTAGAGCGCGGGTATGGAGTGTTTTCATGCTCATGTGGGACCTCAGATATGTCTGGAGGGAAGAGTCTGGGATATGGAGTCAAACAGCTTGCAACCTGGGGTCAATCATTGCTCCTCCTGCAGCCTCGGTTGCCTGTCTGTGGAATGGGTTGAATGCCAGCAATTGGCTAGAGCATTAAAGAATGGGTCTGGATGCATTGTTAACTGAGGCCTGCGTCCCCCTTCCCTACAGCTGCCTCCCTCAGATGCTGTTCCATGAGCTGCAGGTGGATTCCAAGCTGCAGCCTGGCCCCCAGGGGGCCCTGGGGGTGCTCTCCTGGGGTGGCACCAGCATTATCAAGAGACACAGGACCCATTGTTACCAACAAGCTGGACATCCTGGTTAGGTGCCCCGGCTGCATCAGTGTCTCAGAGAAACGTCTAGACCCAGCTCAGCCAGGTGGGGAACAGAGCTCTCCACTGGGGCACAGGAAGCACGGGATCTTCACTGCGTGCCCAGCTACGGGGGCCCCGGGAAAGAACGGTGCTTTACAGCTCACACAGCATTCCCGCCCCCCAGGGTCTCGCTGGGTCCTTAGCGAGGTTCAGAGAGAGGCTATCACTTGTCCACAGGGGGACTCTGACACAGGCACAAACCTTAAGCTCTGAGGATCAGAGATGAGGTGTTAATAGGTCTTTCATGTCTTTATTCCATTTTCTCCCCCTCCACGTGTCTAGGTCTTTACTCTCTTTATTCTCCTCTGCTTTCTACCTCACCCATTCCTTTGAGTTTTCTGCACAGCTAGGAATGGCCAGCCTAGGTGGGTGTGTATGGGGGTGTTTTCACCCATGTCTGGAAAGTTCAGAGAGGGTTACCACGAAAAAAATTGGTGACTGAAGAAGACAGAAGCCCGTTTTTCTACTCCCAACCATTCCTAACTGTCCAATAAAGCAATGTACATTTTCATTTCTTCTCACCTAATAAAACAACAATAATAATAGGTAGCATTTGTTGAAGGTTTGTCATGTGCTAGACTTCGGGCTGCAGGCTTTAAAGTTATTATCTTACTGAATCTTTCACAACCTGTGCAGCATGGACTCCTGCTCCCACTTCATGGATGGGAAAACTGAGGCTTTGGAGAGATGAAGTAAATGCCCAAAGCCACTCAGCTAGTGAGCGGTAGAGCTGGAATGGGAACCCTTCTTCTATTTTCTAAACAGGAAACAGACTCACACATTAAAATTACACTAAGGGGACGCCTGGGTGGCTCAGTCGTAAGCATCTGCCTTCAGCTCAGGTCATGATCCCAGGGTCCTGGGATCGAGCCCCATGTCGGGCTCCCTGCGCTGCAGAGAGCCTGCTTTCTCCCTCTGCCTGCTACTCCCCCTGCTTGTGCTCTCTCTCTCTCTCTCTGACAAATAAATAAATAAAATCTTTAAAATTACACTAAGACATTGATAATGGCTACGCATCAGGGGTCCTCAGAGAAAACAGTGACCCCCATTCTTCACTGTCAGGGAAATCTGAACAACACGCTCAGGCCTGAGCCCTGCCCTGTGCGAAGGGCCTGACTAGCCAGCCTGGGTGTGGGCCATGACCACGATAAAGAGGAGGTCCTGGGAGGGGCACCTGGAGGCCACGGGGGGCACGGGGCTGACTTCAAAAGAATGTCAGGGGCCCAGAGGGCACAACAGCCTCATGGGGAGAGTCACGTTCTCTGGGTGCAGTCCAGACTTTTATTCTGAGTCCAGACCATACAGCCAATTGCCTCAGCCTCCTGGTCATCTCATTTTGGATATCCCACAACACTCCAATCCTGCGTGTCCCAACCGAACACTGCCGCCAACCTGCTCCTCCTCAGGGGTCCTCGTGTCAGGAATGGCAGCGCCGTCCCTGCATTCGGCCAAGCCAGAGACCCAGAGGCACGCTCCCCAATACACCCCCGGATCAAGCCCAGTCAGGTGGACTCTCCAATCCCTGCTGAACCCAGACACGTCTCTGCGCCCCCAGCCTCAGTCTACGCTACCCTCTCCCTCACCCTCACGGGGATTCAGGGTAGAATTCCCGCCACATCTCACGCCTCCTGCACTGCCCCCCCACCCCGTCCGTCCTCTACCCTGTGACCAGCGGGACCTTCCTGGAGTCCACCTCCAACCACACCCCCCTGCTCCCTCTCAGCCCAAGGAGCCCAGCAGGAGAGAGGAGAAAGAGACGGGCGCCCTCCGGCTTCCTGGTTCCCGTCCCCCAGCACTCCGCTGACTCCCATGTCTGTGCCCCTGTCCTCCAGGCCACCCTCTAGTCTGTTTCCTGCCCCACGTCCTTCTCCACCCCCTGCCCTCAGGCTCCCGCCCTCACTCCCCGTGCCTGGGGCTCCAGGGACAGCTACGCCCCCGCTTTTCCAAAGGTCACATTACGCCACTTCCCTTTTACAGAAGCCCTACATGAGTCCCTGGTTCCAATAGCCAAAAGAAATCCACAGGGGAGTTTCCCCTTTACGAAAAAAGGCCAAAAGCAAAAATGGTGTCCAGCGTTTGTTTCACAGCAAGCCGGGAGAGAAGCAGCAGGGACCCCGGGAGTGAGAGGGACCCCCGCCACGCCCTTTCCCCAGGAGACACCCCAGGAGACACATCTCCATCAAGCCACCAGCGCTTCAAACTGCGTCCGTGAGCCCTGGTGCTTTATCTCCATTTAGTTTGTGCATCTGTTAGCAAGATGTGTCTTAGGGTAACAGAAAAGCCTAAGAGCAGTTATTTTTGGGTCTGGGAGCACTCAAAAGTTCTTCCACATAATGGCTTTACAGCATTCTGGCTTCTGACAGGTTTCGCAGCGGACAGCGGGGAAACCTGTATGTGCTTTCCCAAGTGCCCCCCGCGTGTCTGTCTGTCCACGACTCCTCTCCTGCCTCTTGCCCTCCACAGCACTCCCTCGACAACCTAACCAGACACACTGGGACACCAGAAAGTAACAGTTCTACTTTCTGTCATATTTTGGGCTAGTCTTTTCCATTCTTAGATCATTTAAAATGAAATATTTAAGTTCCAATGATTTTGAGTGAGAATTCTTAATGGCTGGCATTTGGACCGGACTGTCAGATCTCAAAGTCCCTTCACATTCTCTCCTCGTGTGATCTTCCCGAAGCTGGGGGTTAGGTGGGTCAGGGTTATTACACCTGATTTATAAATGAGGAAACTGAGGCACTCAGATTTTCCAGAAACTAAAGGGCCAGGGGTCCAACCCAGCTCCTCCAACCCATACCTGGGCTCTTCCAATTCCACTCTGGCTCCGAACTGGAGATAAACAGAAATCTGTTCACTGACCCAGGAACCCATCCGCGGTTCCTGTCCACCTGCCAGCCTACCTACAAGTCAGCTAACCCGATGCCTTTCTGCCAGTTTCCACGAGTCGCCACATCAAAGAAGACAGTTGCCAAGAACATGCGGTTGTCCAGCAGGCTTGTCTTCAGTCTGACCCCAATAACTCACCTTGAGGTTGTGGAAAGCATCTCAGCGGGGAAGCGGTGCATGCGGCCCAGTGCACGATCTGCTTCTCTGGGCTGTGCTTCGAGCTTCTCCAGCCTCTTGGTTATTGACTGCTTCTGATATTCTGGTGTTCTGCCCAGTTCTCTTCACAGCACCCAAAAACCCCAGAGAAAAGGCAAACATCCAGTCAAATATTTACCAGAGAATCAAAAGCGGGCAGGTAGCCATCTTCCTTGTTTCAGAAGACAACTGGCTATTTTTCTGCTCTCCTTCCCCTTCTGCTTTCTCATTTGCAAAGCAGGAACTCCCTCCTCGTTCCTCTCTCCTCGATACTTGCTATCTCTGTTAGCCCCCTTGGGGTACGCACAGGGCCCCCTGAGCTATCAGAACTTTGCCCGGCAGCTAAGCCCTCTTGGGCTAGCTCTAAAAATTATTATAGGCAATAAAGTAGGACTCTGCCTCGAGGCAATAAACTAGGAAACTAAGACCACTGGCCTCAAGATTCTTTTTGGAGAAGGCCACCCATTGCCAGGAGAGGAGCTGGAGACAAGTTCCAAAACTGAACCCCACCCACCAGCAGAACCGGCTAGCTATCCACCAGGATTCCTGATCCCTTTCCATAAAGTGAGGATACTGCTCAGAAAGACCAGGCGCTGGCCTCTAGGAACAGACTTGGGGCTGAGGCTCACCAATGAATGTGAGCAGAGGTGACAGTGGTTACTTCTGGGCCAAGACAGTTAAGAAGCAAGTGTGTCTTTTCCACCTTCCCCTTCCCCATCTGCTGGCTTAGGACTCCAAGGCCCTAAAGAAATGGGATGGAAGGAGCCTGGGTCCCTGAATCACTCTGTAGGGGAATCTATTCTCTGCACCAACTGTCCTCTCACACACTAGTCTGTGAGCAAGAAATAAAGTTCTGTCCTAACCCAGTCAAGTGTGGGCCTCTTGTTACAGAGAATGTTGCCCCAGCGGACCAAATGCCCGGCCCAAGACAGCCGGTCCTAAACTATGTCAACCCATTATCTGGATGGACACTCTGCCCCGCAGATCACCTATCTCGGAAGTCTGGCCTCGAGACACAGAGCAAGAGCCGAGCGCTCGTCAGCGGAGAACCAAATAACACACAGACACAGGGACCAGAGGAGTGGTTGCGTCCTGATCAGGCCCGAACATTCCTCTCTTGCTGCTGAGAACCAGTTAAGATTTCCCGGGCACCACTGTGGCCACGGATTCCAAACGGTCTTCCGGGCCAAACGGGAACGAGACTCCAGGCGTCCCTGTCGGGTCACCGCCCGCCTCAGCAGCTTGGCCGGTCGAAGGCAGCACCACGCTCCCCTCCCCCGCTCTCACTCCATTTGCTCTGCCGCCGGCCCTTCTCACGCACCCCTTCACCTGTGTGTGGGGGCACTCGCTTCCTGCTTTCCCTCCCGCCAGCCTGGGGGCGGCATCACAGTGGTGCAGCCACAACAGGGAAGGAGCCCCGGACCCTGCAGCAACACTGGGAGACAGACGGGAAACAGCTGCTTCCAGGCTCCTCTGGATCTTCAGGGAGCAAGGAACAGGCATGCACTCCAAGTGCCTGGGGTTAACGGGGTTTCCTATTACTCCCCCACAGGGGCTGGGGCCCAACCTGTGAAGGCGCTGGAAACACAAACTGCTCTTGGGAATGGTTCCTCCATCCCTGTGGCCGAGGGCTTACTCATTCTCTTGTCTCTCTCTCTTTGGGTATTCTTTTGCTTCAGTCTCTCTATGGTGCGGTCCCTTTGCCTTTTTATAGTTTCTGCTCTCTCGTGGCTTCGACTCAGCACTGTGCTGACGAGTAACCTTTCAGCTTCTCCCCCCACAGTTCACCCCCTCCTTTGCAGGGTTCCCGCAGTTCTAACTGCTAAGAGCAAAGCTCTGTCCCGGTTTATCTTTACGGGTGCATAGGTCATAGGTCAGTCTTCATTCTTCTGTCTTGGGCTCAGTCATACAGCCCTTGTCTTACTTTGCTAAGGCGGCCATACCAAATACCAAATACCACATACAGCGGGGGCTTAAACAACAGAATTAATTCTTTCGCAGTTCTGGAAGCTGGAAGTCCAAGATCAAGGTGTGAGCAGGGCTGGTTTCTACTGAGGCCTCTCCCTTGGGCTTGCAGAGCAGTGCCTCCTCACTGTCCCCACGCGGCCTCCCCACTGCGCATGTGCATCCCTGGTGTCGCGCTCTCTCTCTCTCTCTCTCTCTCTGTCTTAATCTCCCCTTCTTAGGAGGACACAAATCAGATTGGATTGGAGCTCACCCTGATGGCCTCATTTTAACTTAACTATTTCTTTAGAAGGCCCGTCTCCAAATACAGTCACAGCCTAAAACACTGGCGGTTAGGCCTTCAAGGTATGAGTTTGTCGGGGGACATAATTCAGTCCGTAACACCCCTGGTCCAATCAGCTCTGGTGGAGCAGGAGAGGGCCCCACAGGCAGCGAACAGAACCATAACTGACAGATTCAGGCCATTTGTGTTTGACCCCTTTATGCCTACAAAGAACACCTTCTCCCCCTTCTGCATATCACCACTGTTCTTGTTCAGCAAGTCCTACCTCAAGCATAATACCTGGCATGAAGTGTCTCCGGGCCACTACGGTGTAATCTTGCTTCTCCTGGCATGGCCTGAATCTCTTATGGCATGTATTAGGCCTTCTTTATGTGCTACGTGACACATAGGTATGGAGAAGCAGTCTGGGGCAGTGGTTCAGTGTGTGGACTTTGGGGCCTACTCCACTGTGAACTACCTGTCTAATTTTGACCAAATCACTGCTACCCTCTGTGATCTTTGGTTTAATCTGAGATAAGGTATACGTGCTACATGGTCACCTGAGGTTGAAATGAGCCAACATGCACAAAGTGTTTTAGGAGGGTGTCCAACACACAGGAAGCACTTGAACATCACCCATTTGGGGGTGCCCACTCTCTGCCGGGTACTGATGGAGTAGACAGTCACATCCCAGTTCATCATGTCTAAGTCCCAGCTCCCCTCGTAGATCACCGTGACTTGGAAGCCACAACCAGATCTGGTTCAACTCAACGCCTGGAATACAGGGGAAGCCTTGAAAATGCTTATTCTCAAAACTGAAAATGATGAAAGGAAAATGAAAAAGAGACATAGGAGGATCAGGCCCAACATAACTCTGTTACTGGCTGTCTGGAAACAAAGAAACACTGTAAATGTGTTTCCTCCAAAACCAGGCCCTCTCCTTCCCTGGAAGAAGAAGTTCTTGGTGCATCCAGGCCATACAGTTCAGAGAAAAGCTGCAAAGCTCTTCTCCCTCCAGACACGTGGAGAAGCTATCTCTTCCGGGAACTTCCATCTGCCAGGTGCTTTCTGACTCCATTGCCCAGGCTTCAAACGGCTATTTTAAATTCTTGGATTATAATGGTGGTTTCCCTCAATTCTACAATTCCTCTCTTCACACCATTAAGGAAAGGTCATTGTTGAATTGCCACCGACTGCCTTGGGGAGGCTGGGAAGGCAGCCACCTTAAAGTGGGAAGAAAGCTAAATCACCTGACCTAAAATGCTCGAGTTCAGCAAAATTTCATCCACAGTAATAAGGACCCGTTCCTGAGACGTTTGAATACTTGTGCTGAGTTCATCCACATAACCAATAAAAGCACTGAATAGAGCCCTATAGCACTCCACCAGAGACCTCTTTCCAGGAGCCGTGCAATGAGAGAGTGAGGAAAGAGATGAATAACTACACCAGAACCCAGGCGAGGCAGGCTTACTGTCTTGCAGGTGTGTATTTAGCAGGGTTCAGAGTTTGGTGACAGGCCAGAAGGGAATTCGGCAGTGCATCACAAAGACTGTGCTTCTTCCCTGAGCGTTGGGAGCTTATCACAGGACAGCCTCTGTTTATTCCAAAGACATACGGCTGGCTTAATTATTAAATTTAGAAACAAAAGAACCCAGATATCCAGATGATCTAGTGCAATTTCTTTATCAGGTAGCAATGACAGCTTTCTGGAGCCGGTATGCCCCTTGACTAGAGACAATTTTTCTCACTTAGAGAAAGAATGAAACGAATCTATATTCCAAGCCTGCTCCTTCTCCATCGGAAACAGGCCTGGCTCCCCCTGCTGGCAGAATGAAGACAAACTCCTCAACAGGGCCCCGCCCCCGCTTATCTTCCCAGACTAGACTCAACTCTGGAGAAGTCAGCGGGAGATCTGGACTCACCTCTCAGGCGCCATCCACTTCCCCTGCCCTCACCCGTTCATTCTTGTCACAAATATTTACAAAGTACCTGGATGCCAAGAAGTATGCCAGTCCCCGAGGATAGGTACTCTAAGGACACACTTTGGGCCCTCATCCCATGTTGGGCCAAGATCCTGGCTTAGGCACCGTGTCCTCCCTGGGGAAGGTTTTGGTGCTTTGCAATTGCTTACAGATGGAATGCAAAGAACGAGATTACTGCACCAGAAGGCAGACTGGGACAAACTGCTGGGTTGGGGTTGCGCAGGGACAGACCGGAGCAGCAGATCGGACCCTGCAAAGGCCATTTCTGGAGCACCAGGAGGGGGACCCATTTAAGCCGAAGGCCAACCATGTACTGGAAAAGGAGGTCTGTGCTGGGACACCTAGAGGCCTGGGTTCTTCCCTCAGCTGTGCCCTGCAGGGCTCTGCAACTTTGAGCAAGTTTCTTCCCATTCTTCCCATTCTCCCCCTCTGTAAAGTGAGGATGTTGGAGGTGGTCTCTAAAGACCCTTTCTCCTTACCTGACCCCACTTGGATGTCACCTCTGTGAAGCCTTCCCTGATTTCCTTCAAGAACCCCATTGCTTCAGACAGACTCATACCTCTGAGCACACAGTGATTATCTGTACCCACTTCTGTTCTCATCTCCTAACCGGGAGTGCCTTATGCCAGCACGTTGGTTCATTGGAATTATCAGGAATGACTGAACTAATGAACAAGGAACAAGGTCATTTCTAGGTCCGTAATCCCTACATTGTCCACAAGGTGGCAGTGTGCACAGGTGGCCGCCACACAAACCTTGCGTTTGGCGGAGGCACTGGGAAAGATGCTGAAGGGAAAAACGGAGAACCAGGAACTTTCCTCAAAGACTTATCCTCTGGTTCCCCCGTGGGTATGTACTATCCCTTTCCTCCCCACCTTTAAGGTGTCAGTCTGTCAGACAGCAACACAGACCCGAGCTATGGGGCTCAGGCCTGGATTCCATGTTTCCAAGCACCTACTGGTACCTCAAGGCCCAGTTTAGAGAGCACTTTTTCCAGGAGGTGGACTCTTTTTCCCCCAGCACTTTTCTGTAGTCACGTTTATTGCACTGAAATTGCTTCCAATCTGCCTTCCTGAGGCCACCCTCTTGAGCACACAGCGCCCGGCTCACTCATCTAACCCCCTGGTGCCCTGCAGAGGCCCGGTAAGCAGTATCAGGCCCTCCGAGAGCTTTGCTGAATGAAGAATGAATCAATGAATCTACAAATTAGGGACGTGATGGAGCAAGATGAACAGAGAACCATCTCCCCTCCAACAGAGAGACACCTGAGAATAAGAAAAAAACAACTACAGTTGACCCTTGAACAATGTGGAAGGGGGTAGCACTGACCACCTGCATCGCTGAAAATCTGCACATAACTTTTGACTCCTCGAAACGTACTGCTAATAGCATGCTGTTACCGATAACGCAATTGACCGACACATATTCTATATGTCCTATGTATTGAATCCTGAATTCTTACAATAAAATAAGCTAGAGAAAAGAAAATGTTATTAATGAAAATTAATAATTAAGAAAAATCACAAGGAAAACACATTTACGGGAGTGTACTATAAAAGAAATCTGCAGGGCGCCTGGGTGGCTCACTTGGTTAAGCTTCTGCCTTCGGCTCAGGTCATGATCTCGGGGTCCTGGAATCGAGTCCCACATGGGGCTCCCTGCTCTGCCCGGAGTCTGCCTCTCCTTCTCCCTCTGCCGCTCCCCCCTGCTTGTGCTCTCTCTCACGCTCTCTCTCAAATAAATAAAATCTTTTTTAAAAAAAGAAATCTGTATATAAGTGGATCTGCACAGCTGAAATCTGCATTGAGGGTCAACTGTACACATTTATGTTTACACCGGCTCGGGAAGAGACCAAATACTCCTTAGCACAATAATGACACTGCTACTTTGAAAGGAGTAGAGCCAAGGGCATGTTAAAAGGAGGCAAATGCTTTCCTCAAGTGAGACTAGGCTGTGCTGCCTTCTAAGAAAATGAATCCTACCCATGGCAAGGTGACTTCTCTTTCAATTATTTACGAGGAAACTGATGGTAGCTGATAACTCTCCTGGTAAAAAAGGAAAGTTTCAGGGGCTTCCACGTGACCCTGCCTCTTATAATAGCCCTTCCTCCATGTGTCACAGAACTGATGTTGGGATTCTGCCAGTTGCCAAATGTGTATATTCACTGTGAATTTTTTTAATAAAGATTTATTTATTTATTTATTTGAGAGAGAGAGCAGGGGGAAGGGCAGAGGGAGAACGACAGAGAGAATCCCAAGCTGACTCCCTGCTAAATGCAGAGCCTGACACGGGGCTCGATCTCACAACCCCAAGATCATGACCTGAGCCATCAAGAGTTGGATGCTTAACTGACGGCACCACCCAGGGGCCCCATGGTTCACTGTGATCTGATCGTGGGCCCTGAGGGCTGCAAGCCCCCCTTTAACTGTGGGCTACAGTGAGCCAGTCCAGTAAAGGGTCAAAGGTACTTCTGGGAAGGCCTTAGAGGAGGATTTATAGAATTTGTATAACATCCTTCTTTAAGGGGACCTGGCCTCTCCTTCTAATTAAGTCTGAAAATTGGATAAGAGAACCTGGTGATTCAAATCAGCTTTTGGACACCAGACCTGGAGTTTTTCTCCATTGTACACAGCAAGTAACATTTTAGTAGGATGCTCACTATTTCATTCCTAGGGACATTAGGACAACCAGACAATGCCAAAGACCCCTGTGAGTCAAAACTAGGAGGTCCACTCCATCCTACTGTCTATCATGGTAACGACACCCTGCTACGTCTTTGGCAGTTAAGTGCTACCACTTGGCCTCTGGTCTTCCGCAATCTCACCATCCCCAGAGGACTCAGGGCGCTCCTTTCAGTGGGGGCAGCTCTCATCATCGTATGTGGCCAACACAGGAGAGCACCCACAGAGCTTTTCAGGGATAGCAGTGCCTCCCCCCCGGCTAATGAATTTCCCAATGTCACAGGGAAGGAGATATCCTCTGGACCCCCGTGGGGAATGTAGTGGGTGGTTGGTTGTGCAGGCTGTCCATAATAAATCTATTTCAACATCTTCCCTAAGCCTTTTTTTTAGATTTTATTTATTTGGCAGAGAGGGAGAGAGCACAAGCAGGGGGAGTGGCAGGCAGAGGGAGAGGGAGAAGCAGTCTTCCCGCGGAGCAGGGAGCCCCGATGCGGGGCTCGATCCCAGGACCTTGGGATCATGACCTGAGCTGAAGGCAGACACTTAACCGACTGGACTCCTAAGCTTTTTTATGTCTTCCTTTGCAACACACTAGGGAAGTACTGGCATCTCAAATTAACTAAATGCGGAAAATCATTAAGCCTCAGTTTCACTTAAACAGCTAAGTAAACTACAGGCACTTCCAGCTACACAAACCAACACATTGAAACCAGAATCTCAGGTAAGTACACTCATATCAACTCAATAAAAAGTTATATTCTGTTCTCTTTGGTCTTCCATCCTTAGAATCCATTCTTGCATGTACTCCCCAAGTTGCTGCAAAGTAGTTTAGCAAAATCTTGACATTCTTGTGGTATAGAAGCTATATTTTCTCAGAGTAGACTCTGTACTTGCCCTGCTCAAGTATATGGAACTCTAAGGCCAGTTGTGAGTCTAGTGGCCACAAGAGGCAGGTGGGGTAGGTCTTGAAGAGAAAAGGTATGCCTTGCAAGGTAACAGCCCTTAGCAGGGTCCTTAAACAAGGGAAAGTGAATCCTCTCAGACATAATCTGTGAACTGCTTCCACTGGGGCTGGGGGAAGCTCAGACTAACTCAGAGGCTCAAGATTCTTAACTTCATCTGCTTCACCTGAGTCCACCCAGATATTCCCCATTCCAAGTCCAGTACCTACACACGGTTGTTGTATCAATTTGTGTGGGTTTTATAGTTGTTTACAGCAAGAGGGCAAACCGTCTATCATATCTTGGCTGCTCAACATCTAAATTTCCATCTTTACAGAGCTCCCTATCTTGCAATGTTCCCTCTTATGCAGTATTTAATTGAAGTCTGTCCCTCCATAACTACCACCCCTCATGCATGAAAACCCGCCCCTCTCTCTGCTCTGGAACGTCCCACCAGAGACCTGGAGTCAGGGATTTTGTTTTCTCTCAGCCTGGATTAGGGTCTTCTATGAATGGCCTGACTGTTAAGCTTGAGATTCAAGACTATGGCCCGTTTATGGAGAAACCTCTCCTCACCTTACCTCCTCAGACTGGGACATTCATACTCACTTCAACAGCTGCTGAGTGTGCATGCGCCCACCCTAAGTGCTGTATAAGCTAGCTTCCCATGTGTGCCAGCAGTGAGCGGGGAAGGTAGAACATCATGGGAACTCACTACCTATCAGACAACAGAGGTGCCTCATCCCCCTTCCCTGCCAGGAGAACTCATCTTTTTTGTTTTTTCCCCTATAATCTTTAGGAGCCAACAGATGTTGCCCACAGTGTTAACTGGCACTCTGGAAACCAGAGTTCCCTGGGCTACTTCTGTTAAAGGAAATGGAAACCAATCCAAGAAGCTTCTCCATCTCTAAGGAATCAGAAAAGGAAGAAAACTCCACAGGGCAAATGAGAATTAAGGGGTGAGCAGGAAAAGCCATCCATACAGCTGGGTCAGCAAGTCCCTCCCTCCATCCCATGCCTTCACTTGGCCACACATCCAACTCCAGCAATCAGGAACCCCTGGAGGTTCCTGTGTGGGTCCCCTGCCAGGGCTGGGCCAAGGATAGGATGCACAGAGCCCGACGGCTGGCAGGGGCCACATGCATAAATAACTGACTACATGCAATCATGTCTTTCAAACACCCACTCCCCACTAACCGCAGATGTGCATCAGGACATTCATCACAGCGCTACTTGTACTAACAAAAGGACTCAAAACAACTGGCTAAATGATTGCAGTTTTTGTGCAATTAAACGCTGTGCAAAGTTTAAAAGTCTGAGGCCAATCCAAAATAGATCGCCAGATCTCATCACAACCAAAGTCACTTTTGACTGAGAAATAAACCATGGCTTCAGTAGCATTCAGGGGAGAAAAACAAACAATGCTCCATTGTTTGTACAAGCCCGATTTCAGAAATGATAAGAGGTAGGGAAACCATGGAAAATACCATAGATGGGAAAACCAAGGGCCGAGTAATGTGCAGGGCACACTACCGTGTGTGTGTGTGTGTGTGTGTGTGTGTGTGTGTGTGTTTAAAGAGAGGAGCTATACAATCATACGTGCTTTAATGGACATACAAAATTTCTGCAAAGACACAAGACTGATAATGAGCGGCCTCTTGAGGCTGGGTTGGGACACTGGGTCACAGGGTGGAAGGGAAACTCTTTTCATCATTACATCCATTTGTAACCTCTGAAATTTTAAACCATATATTCTCTTTTTAAAATAAAACTTTGAAAACTACTAAACGCAAAATAAAATTACAAAGCGCATCCTTCTGGGAGGATCAAGGCACATAATATTTGGAGCTAGCCTTGGCTCTGAAGACCGTACAGCCCGTCACGGCGCTACCACAGCGACCTTGGGCAAGTTCCCGCCCCGAGTGCGTCTGTTTCCCCAAGAGCCCACTGGGTCTAGGAGAGCAGGTCTCGGGACATCCCTCCAGCTCGGAACCGGGGAGGCCGGGAGCCCACCCCGCCGCGCGGGTCCCGGACCCCGGCAGCCGGCTGCGGCGCCCCGCGGCGGAGGCCCGGCCAATCAGCGGCCGCGAGGCGGGCGGGGTGGCGGCGCGGCGCGCGCGAAGCGCAGCGCGAAGCAGAGGCGCCACTGCCGTCCCGAAGCAGACCATGCCACGCTCACCCTCGCTCTGCCCGCTGCTGCTGCTCCTGCTGCTGCCGCCGCTGACTCCAGGCCTCGGGCTCCGCGCCACCGGCGGCCGGCACCCCGAGTGCGGTCCGTGCCGGCCCGAGCGCTGCCCGGCGCCCGCGCGCTGCCCTGCGCCCGGGATCGCGGCGCGCGACGAGTGCGGCTGCTGCGTGCGCTGCCTGGGCGCCGAGGGCGCGAGCTGCGGGGGGCGGGCGGGCGCGCGCTGCGGCCCCGGCCTGGTGTGCGCCAGCCGCGCCGCGGGGGTAGCGCCGGAGGGCACCGGGCTCTGTGTGTGCGCGCAGCGCGGCGCCGTCTGCGGCTCCGACGGCCGCTCCTACCCCAGCATCTGCGCGCTGCGCCTGCGCGCCCGGCACGCGCCCCGCCCGCACCCCGGCCACCTGCACAAGGCGCGCGATGGCCCCTGCGAATTTGGTGAGTCCGGCTTCTGCCCCGCGGTGCTGGGGCAGGAGGAGAAAGAGGGACCCCAGCCCTCTGGAATGTGGGGCAGAGGATCCCTGCATGCACCGTGATCCACAGCCTCAGTTTTCCCTTCAGAAGCAGTTTTTCTTACCTGGTCAGGTACTCAAGGAGACTGGGACAGGAATCCATATCCTTCACCCTTCCTTACCAAGCTCGTGGAGATACAAGCCCTTGAGCTGGTCAGTGTTTTGGTGAGCCTACTGTCTCTTTTGGTACTTAACTACCAAAAGGCCTTAAGTTACGTGCAGGCCTGCCATGTAGGCCTCCACCAGACTGGGAGCTAAGGGGGGGGGGGTGTCCTACTGAGTTTAAGTCCCCTGGGACCAGCAGCGGGCCAGGCCAGGTGGGGTTTCTGAATGGAGAGGGAGGGAAGGTGAAGATGCTGGAGGAGGAGGAGCTCCAGACAGGGACTCAGGAATCACTGGGCGAGAACCCCAGGGTTGGGAACCTGCTGGGATTCCCACCCAGGAGAGGGATCTCCCACCCAGGACAGGTTAAGACATTTGAGGACCTAAGTTCTGAAAAGATGATGGTGCCATCAGGGCCAGACCTGGGTTTTGCGGGTCTAAGGCTCATATGATTCCACGGGTAAAGGAATGGAAATGTATTGATTGCTGGGTACATAGAAACTTAAGGTTCATTAACATCCCAGGAAGGTCATGTTTGGATGCCTTGTTTGCCCACCTCTATGTGTAATTTTTTAAACTCAAACAAAAACAGACCAAAAACATTGGTAAGGGATGCCCAGCGGAGCACCCTGATGGCCCATTAGGTTTTGGAGAGCTGCCCCCATCCACACTGCCTGGAGGGAGCAGTGGAGAGTTGAGGGTGAGTGAACTTATGGCCGGCAAGTTCCAAGGAGCCTGGCTTGGGGTTCTGGCCTAGGCCTGGAGACCCAAGTCTAGACCTAAATGCCTACATCGGTGTAATGAATTTAGCTCCAACAGGGAAGCCTTGGGGTGGGGGACAACCTTTTCCAGGCCTTGGGTAATTTCTCATATTATTTCCCCCCAAGCATTCCACGTACGTGCAGCAGACCCAGCGGGTTGTTGGGGATGGGGCAGGAAGGCTCCTGTCCCGGGCAACACAAAACCAATATGCTGCCCATTGAGGGGGCTGAAGCAGTTCCATTGCACGGGAAGGTCACCATTGGCTATTCCTGGCTGGGGCTTCCAATGGAAGAAAGAGCTGGTGGGTGCTTCTTAAGCTGCTACTGGTCCCCTGAGTAACCTTGGGCAGGTCCCTGCCCTTCTCTGGGCCCCGTCAGCCCTGTGGAGCCACAGTTGAGGTCCCTTCCATTTTGAACCTTTGTTTCTGCCCTGTGGCATTTCAACAGTCCTGCCTCCTTCCTTCTAGTTCCTATCACTCCTTTTTACAATCTGCTTTCTTTAGCCGTTAATTCACAGGCAGTTCTCTTTGTCTCCAGACAAGTCACACTTTCACTCCACACGGTGGAGACGCCAAGAAATGCTGACCAAGTCCCCAGAATCTAACCGGTGCGGATAGTCTCAGACGATTTTTCCCTGGAGTGATATTCTGTGCCTAAGACCCAGCCACCTTGAAGACACATGGAGCAAATCTGCCATTGTGCAGAGGAGACTGAGACCCAGGGAGGCAGGAGACACAGGCAGGGCGATCAGTAAAGCCTGACCAGCACCCAGGGCCCCGACGCCTTCGGCAGTGCTCTTTCACAATAGGACTTGAGAGTCTGAAGTCAGGCAGGTGGTGGTTGCCATGGTTACCAGAGTGCGGCCAGATGGCAGACGGCAACCCCATATCCCTAATTCACTGAAAATTACCAAATGACAAGTAAACGTGACAGCTCCTCCACTCCGATCTACGGGCTCTGAGGCCCACTCCAGGCACAGGCCCCTTGAGTAAAGATGTTCAAGGGGCCAAAAGGAAGGAAAGTCAGAAACTGCTTTTAATGATCCCGTTAGTGACAGGCAGCAGGCCTCCCTACGATTTAGCTCTCTTTCCCCACCCACAATTGTGTCATCTGCAGTAGCCCGGGGCACTGTGGTCCCCTGTCTTTGTGTCCTAAAATGTTTGGGTGGCCCCTGCGCTGGTGTCCTGGTGAAGCACAGAGGTGTGGACAGGGGCATCTTTCCTAGCCCAGGTGGCACCTCATTCTGTGCTGCCCCAAAGCCATCCTTTATTCAGAGGACGAAGCAGGGGTACTTTTTAACAATGCCCCCAGGGACCCTGGTGGGAAGGAAACGGCTGAGTTCTAGCAGCAGCTGTTCTGTTTCAATATTGTTCATAAAATCACCCCTCGCCGGCTCTCACCTACCCTTCAGTAAGCAAGCACCTGACTTAGACTGGATGAGACCTCAGTAAATATTTATCAGCTTCCACACAGGGTGTGAAGTGTTCTCTGAAACCATTTTCAGGCTTAAATTCTGGCCTTTTCCTATGCTCTGAAATTCCCCCCAAATGCCTAATAACGAGTGCAATCCTTTGATTAACACATTGAATGAAGACTCGACCTGTTTCCACGTATGAATCATTTTTATACTGTTGGAAATAGCCCTTGCATCCCATCTTCTTACTCAATTTCCACAACTACCCCGGCCAGATCTCACTCCGACTTAACAGAAGGGAAAACTAAGGCATACAGAAGGGAACTCCCTGGAGCTGCGCGCCTAGCTCCTAGCTGAGATGGGGCCCCAGCCTGGGTTTGCCTGGCCCTTTTCAGATGGAGCCATGCACCTCGAGCCCGATGGCCACCTGATTAGGAAGAGGCTGCAAATTAGCCACCCTTGAATCTTGAGGGGTTTCTCCGTCCGGATTCACCTTCCTGATTTCCCCCCAAGGCTTGTTGCTGGCCCCCCTGCTTGGCACTGGGGGACGGCTCCTGAGAGGAACAGGGATGGCTTCATAGAAGGGAAAATATCTGAGCGGAACCTTGAAGGACTTGTAGAAAATTCTTGGGGAGAAAGGGGGAGGGGTAGGTAAGAGCAGGTAGGGGAGACCCTGTGGTGGGTGTGACCCTGGGCTGCTGGGCAGCTCCACAGGCGGATGGTTGGGGAAAGGGGCGAGGCCCAGAGCGGCTTGGGGCAGGGCCAGGGCCAGCCTCGAGCGCCAGGCTGAGGGATGCAGCTTTGCTCCGTACTAAGTTATTGGTTTCCTTTCTTTGCTATAAGGTGGCATGGCGTTCTTGTTGCTGCTGTCATTATTTTAAAAGGCTGTGTTGTTCCGTGCGTGCCCCCTGACCGGTGGCTGACATGGGGAGGGGGCTGGGATCCTGCAGGCAGCAGGTTGAGAGCATGTTTTGAATGCTAGATTAGGTAGGAACAGGGTCCCGGGCCAATACCCACCAGGACCCCGGGCCCCCCCAAAGCTTCAGTGAGCTCTTGAGATCCTGAATCTTAGAAAATTCACCTCCCTCCGTTGACATCCCAGCTCCACCGCAGTCTGTGCGAGGCGTGTGTTACCAGGTAACCAGGAGAGGCTGCGAGTGCCACTTTGTGAGAGGGACAAAGAAGGGGGGGCCTCTGCTCAAAAGCCTTTCATGCCGAGGGAGGGGCTGTGAGGCACAGGCTGCAGGGAGCCGTATTAAGCTGTTTCTCCTTCCACATCGGAACATGACTATTAGCATAAATTATCAGGGCTGCTCAATGCGTTGGTGATTAAACTCTTTGGTTGTGCACTTCTTTGTACAAGCAGATGGGATCCTGGGGGATGACTTTTGATATTCTTTCTTTCCTGGGCACCATTAACTTGAAAGAAACCTCAGAGGCATTTGGGAAGATCTTTCATTCTGGGCGTCAAGGACATATCTAGTTGACAGTGGGGGGGGGGGAACAGGTCACCACACACTATAATAATGCTGTCGGCCCCTCTCACTCGTACAGACCCGCACGGTCAGTAATTCAGTCACATTCATCCTCTCCCTTCACCCCAGAGGATGTGGGGGTGGGGGAGCAGAGACCCGGAGGAAATGGTTAATGGCTTGCCCAAGCTCCCGTGGTTGGCACCGGGACCCCAGCGCTACCTCCATGGGTGCACATGTGGGTGACTGTTCTGTTACCTGCTGGGTGGATCGGTGCCCTCCCAGCTTTTCTAGAGCTGTTGCTGGCATGGACAGAAGGAAACAAAGTATTTAGCAAGGAAGAGCTAGAGAGACCACAGACTGGGCCCACCAGGCACCATCCTCCCTCTTGAAATCCACGTTGCTCATGTCACACGTAGGTAGAAAAGAAAGTGTGGCAGTTCTGGCACTAGGGAGGCAACAGGCTGTGCCCCGGGCTCACCAGAATGAGGGCTGCAGGTGTGGCCTTTGGAGCCTCCGGGCAGGGCCCACCCAGAGGCCGGCTCCCTGGAGGCCAGTAGGGGCTCTGGAGCAGGCCCAGCACTTCGAGGAGATTCCCCATGGGGTAGCACAGCCTGCCAGGTCCTCGGGTCTCTGTGGAAGCCTCTTACAGTTTGCAAGGGGTCTTGTAGCTCTTCCTCCCAATAGCCTATGGAGAGGGGAGGAGAGACGAGGGGCCAGGAAAGAGAACTGATGCCCGTGCCCATTTTAAAGAAGAAGAAACTAAGACCGCGTCACAGCATTGGTGTGGCAGAGACAAGATTTGAACCTGGATCCCGGCCTGCCCTTGGCAGTCATGACGTTGAGTACCCCAGCACCACATTCAAATGAGCCCTTGGGGACAGTAGGGTTGGGAATGTCCTGTGAGTATAAACAATGTATCACCCACTTAATAGTGTCTTCAGGAGAACCGCTCCTTGGGGGGTGATGTCTGGAGGGTTTTTTCCTGTGTAGAAGAGTAAACAGAGCAGGCCTGAGACTGTCCTTAGAAGGGCCTGCTGGCCAGATTGACCCTTGGCTGGCATCTGGGAACTTGGATTTGGGGACAGTTCCCGCCATCCCCTCAATGATAAGAGTGACTCTTGGCCTGAGCCGTTTGGGCCAACACCACGGTTTATGCTGCACGCCTGCTTTCCTTCCGGGACCCTGGAATTTTGGTACGTGCCGAGCAGAGGGGGCCCAGGTGACCTGCCCCCAACAAAAATCCCGGGCTCGAAGTCTCCAGTGAGCCTCCCTCAGATGGCGTCTCACACGTGTTGTCACCAGGCACTGCTGGGACATTCAGGGTGTCCCATGTGATCGTTGGGAGAGGCACGTGGAAGCCCCCGCCTGGTTTTCCCTGTCTTTACCCCATGAGCCACTTTTCCCTTTGCTGTTTGCTTTGTCTCCTGTCACTGTAATAAATCACAGCTGTGAGTCAGACTGCTGAGGCCTGTGAGTCCTCCTAGCAAATCACTGAACCTGGGGATTGTCTTGGGGCTCCCCAACACAGTCCCTAAAGAACTCTTTCTTGTTCTGGAATGGAGTCCATACAGATAACAAATATTTCACTTTAAAACTCAGTGAAGTGTTGATGGAATCAGGGTCCCTGGGTTTGAGTCCCTGCTCCTCCACACACTTCACCTTTCCGAGTCTTGGTTTTCTCGTCTGTAAAATGGGGATAAAAGCACCTGCTCAGCAGTGTAGGTATAGGGACGAAAGGAGCAGTGTACATGGAAGTGTCATCTAAGTAAAAGACAAGACTCTTTGGGACAAACAAAGCTCAGAGCCAGAGCTTGGGCTCAAAGCCTTGCCCAACCATCTAAACCCGAGTAACCCTACCTAGCTGCACCGCTGGTGAAATTGCTGGAAAGATGGAATGGGTTGATCCCTGTGAGCAGACTAGAGCGCCTAGCACACAGCGAGCTCTCAGAATCAGGTGGTGGCATTTATTACCATTATTACCGTGATGATGATGATGGCTGATTATGAAGAGCTATTATGGATAAAAATATTTTAAATTTAAAAGCAGATATGTTAACATTAAAACCAGATTACTATGACAAAGAGAAGCATGAAGAAATTTTTTGAGTTGAACTGGACTCTTCTAGGTGGCTACATGACTGTAGGCATTTGTCAAAACTCAAGAGCTGCACTCCACAAGGAGTAAATGTGCTGTATGTCAATTTTAAAATAAATAAAAATTTGAATGTTACTTTATCAGCGAAAGCTGGGGGCTCTTTTGTCAAAGAAAGTAATATTTTCTGCCACAAGATCAGTAGCAAAGACAGCATTTCCAAGACAGTCTTTAAAAGAGGGAGAGGGAAATTCTAGGAGAGAGAATGTTGAAATGTGATTTACTGGTTTATTCATTTAGGCCTGAAAGGGATTGATGAAATCTCATTTAAAATTTATGACTTCACATGAATGAAAGTAAAACATGTTGATTGAGTGTTCCTCTGGAATCCATTGAGGGCTTTGGAATAAGATACGGTTCTGATTGTTCCCCCAGCGAGCCATTTGAGGACTGTTGGGCCCCGGGGGAGGGGGTGTTGGCAGGAGGGTGTGGATAAATTAGACTTTTTGTCATGTTGCAGATGGGGCCCCTGCTGGAGAGCAGGGGTGTTGTGGTTCTTTGTGGCAGTTTGCAGGTGTCTGGGATGCTTTGGGCAATGTTAGGAGCCTTAGGACTTTGGTTCAATAGAGGACTTTGGCTACACTCAGTGTTGTGGGTAGAGCCATGTGCTTGGGGGGCAATCAAATGGGCACAACTGAAGGAGTGGGCTGATCAGGCTAAGGGCGAAGAGAGCAGCCTGGGGGTAGGGAGCATAGTGTCTGTATTCAGTGGAGGCCAATGGGGGACCCAGGGAGCTGTAGGGTTCCAGTGGCGTAGCCCTGGGATCAACATGTGGGGGTTACAGGGAGGTAAGTTTTAGCTCCAGATGAAGGAAGACAAGCTTCCTTACCAGCAGAGCTCTCCTAGGATGGAAAGGCCTGGCTCTGTAGGTAGTGAGCTCTCTGTCGGTGGAGGCATGCAAGTGGATGCTAGCTGAACACATCAGATGATCAGGCACAGGATCTTGGGGAGTAGGGCCCCTCCGGTTTGAGACTCTGTGGTTCTAAGACAATTTTCCAGAGATCTTTTTTGGCACCAGCTTGACAAGTTCTGTCTGGAGGGGCCAGACCAGTCTTATTTCTGTGCCCTTTCACTCCTGTCTCTATCCCTCCTCCTGCAGCCTTCTCCCTCCCTCCCTTTGCTCTCTTTTTTTATTGCAGCTGGACCCGGGCAGGCAAAGGCCCCTTCCCTCTCCAGGACCATCCATGAGTCACCCAGCAAAGTCCCAAGAGCGTAGACCCTGCAGTTTGATGGCTGGAGAAGGAATGTGTTTGCTCTTTATTTGCCATGTGTTTCTTCATCTAGTCATCTGTTTAGCAGACGTGCTTCTGGGGCCCACTTACATGTCCTGTTAACTTAAACCATTGCACTCACACTCATCACATGGTAAGATCAGCTCAACAGCCCAGGGAGCAGGGGGTATTATCCCCCTCTTACAGATGAGCAAACCCAAGCAGGGAGGACCCCCCCCCCCCCCCCCGCCGAGGCCTCCCCACTGCATCTTATCCAAGACACTGCTGGACTAGATGCAGGGACAGGCCCTGCTGCTGTCTGGTCCAGCGGAGGCCGGCGGGCACACCTGGACTGCCAGCAAGCTGTCCTCCAGCAGCTCACACAGGTGCAGACGCCCTGGTCCTGGACTAGGACACATACCCTAACCCTCTAGGGCCTGCAGGAGGGGGAGCATCCCCTGTGGGGTTGGGGTGTGCCTTCCATGTGGTGCAGGCAGGTCCACTGAGGGACCGGGTGCAGGGCCTGAACGCTGAGGTGGCCTGACTTGATTCTTGGAGCGCCAGCGTGAGCAGAGCAAGTGGGGGGCACCGGGAGGAGGGCGGTGTGGGGTGTCAGCTAAGCACTTCTCAGATGCCTGCAAGGCCGCCGTCCCAGCCAGCCCACACCCTCCCTCGCCTTTCTGTAATGTGCTGGCAGCCTAGAGCCACCCTGCTTGGGGACGGCCATCCAGGGAGCGACCCCTCTCTCCTGTGTCCCCAGACCTAGTGCTGGCTTGGGGGGGGTGGCGGGGAGGCCGCGCGGAGCCTGCGGGTCTGCGATATGCAAACGAGCGTCTGGCCCGGCCCACGGGGGGGGGGGGGGGTTCTGGGCGGTGCACTGGCAGCTGTTCTGCGGGGCCTGTTCTTTGAACTGTGCCGAGTGCAAGGAGGAAAGCCCATCTGTTCGAAGACTTGGCGTTGGTGAGGTGACACCAGCCCCTCCTGAGCCACTCCGTGTCTCAAGGAGCTGAGCTGCAAGCAGATGGCCCCCGGGGTCCTGGGCGGGAGTGTGACGAGACCCAGGCTCTGCCACAGACGTGGCGGGCGGTTTGGGAAGCCGCCTTGCCCCTCCAGATCCCAGCTTTCCTGTTGGTAGAACAAAGGCGATGGATGAGGAAGCATGGAGGCATCCCCCCGGGTCTGAGGGAAACATGATTCTCCGCCTCCGAGTGTGCTCTTTGTGCGTGGAGAGCTTTCCTCTGCTGCGGCCCCCCGTCCCCGCGGGCTCTCTGCAGGCCGGGGATTTTAGACGTGGGGTGCTTGGGACCTGGCAGGGTAAAGGTTGTGATCCCTTGTCTTCTTCCTCCAGCTCCTCTGGTCGTCACGCCACCCCGGAGTGTTCACAACGTCCCCGGGGCCCAGGTGAACCTGTCCTGTGAGGTGAGGGCTGTGCCCACCCCTGTCATCACGTGGAGGAAGGTATTTACGTCCAAGAATTCCGTGTGCGTGCGTGCGTGCATGTGTGAGAGAGAGGTGTTTCTTGTGTGTTTATGTGTATGTTATTCTATGTGGAGCAGAGGGTTTTAAAAAGAGATCTTACAAGTCACTCTTCTGCCTTCAGGTTTATGCCTCAAAACTTTTACCCCAAAGCTCTGCCCAGAGCAGGGGAGTCGCCATCCTTCCTTGTGCCATTTGCTCCCTCAGCCACTTAGCTGTCCAGAAAGTTCATCTATTTATCTAGCCTGGATCCACTGGAACAAAGTTAGAGCCTACTTCACAGGATCTGGGTTTTAGAAAGACTATCCAAATCCCATTCCAAAACTAGATCTTCCCGCAGATCAATTTTTGAAAGACTGGCGTGGATCACAGCATATCTTGTCCACCTATGTCCACAGCCCCCAGAAGGGCGGGGAAGCTCTGACCCTCCTCTGAGATGGTGGTGGTGTCTGCATCGTTACTGTCCAGCAGGGGGTGCTGTCTGCACAGACATTGAGGTTTATGAAGCCACTGACGTTTTAATAGGAATAAGAGGTGCCAGGGTTTGGCCTTTGAGTCGGTAGGAAGATGAAGACAGCAAGGATGTGTGTGGTGTGGTTCTTACCCAGAGATGCTTTTTCTAAACCACTCCTGGTGGTTCTGTCCTCTGTAGGTCACACAGTCTCCTGAGGGTACCCAGGTGCTGGAGGACCTGCCTGGTGACCACGTCAATATCGCTGTCCAGGTGCGAGGGGGCCCTTCTGACCACGAGGCCGCAGCCTGGATTTTGGTGGGTATCTCACTTGTTTAGGATTAGTGGCTGTTATTGACTGGCCGTCACAAAGCACCCTTTATATTTCTGTAGCACGTTGCACATTTCAAAGCTGTTCTTACCCCTTTTTGGTTGGACCCTACACTAACTGTGAGGGAAGTTTAACCCCCGAGAGCATAACTGATCTTCAGTGGTGGTCAGAATTATGGCCCCAGAAAGACGTCCGTGCCCTAATCCCTGGAGTCTTTGGATCTGTTATATGCAAGAGGGGATTAAGGTTGCAGATGGAGCTAAGGGTGCTCATCAGCTGACTTCAATAAGGAAGTTATCTTGGATTACCTGGGTGGGCCCAGTAGACTCACAAGAGCCCTTTAAATGCTGAAGCGTGAGGCAGGAGGGACGGAGCCAGAGAGATGGCAGCATGGGAAGAACACGAGCCACCATCTCCGGCTTTGAAGATGAAAGAAGAGGACCGCAAGCCCAAGAATGCCGGCAGCCTCTAGAATGGGAAAGGCAAGAAATGGATTTTCCCCTGGGGCCCCTAGGAAGAAGGCAGCTCTGCCGATAGCTTCATTTGAGCCCCCTGATTCCCACTGGGACTTCTGACCTCGAGAACTAAATATAGGGGCGCCTGGCTGGCTCAGTCGGTAGAGTGTGTGACTCCTGATCTCGGGGTTGTGAGTTCGAGCCTCACGTTGGGCATAGAGATTGCTTAAAAATAAAATATTTAATAATTTTTTTTAAAATGCACCAAATGTAATAAATGTGTGTTGTTTTTAAGCCATGAAGTGTGTGGTAATTAGTTATAGCAGCCATAGGAGACTACTACACTCGGCCCAAGAACACGGGGCTGAGAAAGAGGGAAGACAGCCGGCACATTGGTGTCCCCACTCGGGGTTCTGCTGCACCCCTTGCTTCAGCTTAACTAAGTCATGGGAATGCCATGTGTTTGAAAGAGTGAGGGAGGGACAGGGACCCACGTTGGGCTAGTCACTCTGCCCCTTGAGCTTCAGTGTCCACAGTCGGAGGAGGAGGGCCTTGGACTGCACATGGTCCGAGGGCCCTGTGACCCAACAGTCTGTGACTCACTGCCAGTCTCCTGTAATATCAGGGTAACAGCGCTCCCCTGTGCCCCGCAATCGGCGTGAGTTCAACACGAGATCGTGGGCATACCCCCTGCCCAGGCCGCACGGTGGACAGGGGTTGTTGTGCCGAGAGAGGAGGGAGCTGGTGTGGGTGTGCTCTGCGGGGGCATGAGAACAGGCTGCTTGAGGAGGGCCGGTGGGTGTCCGCCTCGCTTCACTCCCGTCTGTGCCAGGGTTGGTGACTTCTCTGCCCAGCTCAGAGACTCGGAATGCAACCGGGTCCGTGTGGCTTTTTGAAATCAAGCACCTTCCCCTCTTGATTACAAGAAGGCGTAGGGGGAAATGTTCTCTCTGGTGTTGTTTCGTAAGGCTGTCTCCATTGGGAGCACTTGTGGGCCATTCCTTGGTCAGTCGATTTTTGTTTAACTTGCAGTATTTTCCTTGTGAGGTATACCTGTCACCTTCAATAAAAGGACCAGGTAGCTCACAGTAAAAGGTAGGAATGCAAAGGAAACATTGAAATGAGGGCCGCCAAAGAGAGGGTACAGAGAAGAAAATTTAACTCTTTCTTGGCAACCAAGGCAAGAAAAGGAATAGTGAGCCCTATCTTATTTTGAAAAATAAGTGTTCAGACATATCTTAGGAACTAAATAAGGAAGTGATTTTGCCGTGCCATAAACTTGCCTGTTTTATTTCTAGATCAACCCTCTGAGAAAGGAAGATGAGGGAGTGTACCTGTGCCATTCCGCCAACGCGGTTGGGGAGGCCCAGTCCCACGGCACCGTGACAGTTCTAGATCTGAGTAAATACACAGCCCCCCACCCCCCAGCTCCAGATGACCGCATGTGATGGAGTCAGGTACATATCATATATTTGTACACCTGTGTCACAAGAGATTGAGGTGGCTTATAAGATGTATAGTAACAAAGAAAAAAATACACAAATCGAAACCAGAGGCATACCAAACAGGAGTTAGGAACATACTACAGTTAGCAGGTAGAATCTCTAGTATGTTCAACACTCGTACCACTCTGGGCCTCCCACCTGGCGTGCAAACACAGGAGCTGTGAACGTTGCGGGTGTCCGTAGGTGGTAAAGACCAGTTGTCTCTTTCTGTTTCTGAAGCTGAACAGAATGTTTCCTTCAAGTCCTAGAGGGGGCAGAGAGAGAGCAGATGTCACGGTGACAGCACCCGTGTGCAAAGGAGACAGTCTGAGCTCCATTTGCTGTCCGCAGGTTTGTCCTCGTTGGCAGCTCTGCTGTGTCCAGGCCTCACCTCCCTGTCCTCAGCACCGCACGTGCTTAGCAGCGTGTCCGGAAGAATCTGCATCTCCCCGGGCCCCTTCGCTCCTTGTCCTTATAGCCGCCCCCCCCCCCCGGGTGAGAGCTGGGATTGTATCTGTCCCCTGCCGACAGGTTGGCCATGAACCTAGGAAACGAGCCCCTTAATTAGCCAGCTTGGGCTGCGTGACAACCCCTGGAGCTGGCTGATGCACAGCCACCAGCATTTCTGTCTTGCTCACATTCCTTGTCATTTGGCCGGTCGGCTGGCTGTGGCTCTGCTCCATGTGTCTTGTCACACTGGGACCCAGCGGGAGGAGCAATCCCAGTGTGCAGAAGGTCCATTCTCATGGCCGAGGGAATGAGCGAGCCACTGAGCCAGGCACACAATCGCATTTAAAGATTCTGCTCCAGGGGCGCCTGGGTGGCTTACTTGGTTAGGTGGCCAACTCTTGATTTCAGCTCAGGTCATGATCCCAAGGTTGTGGGATCAAGCCATGTGACATATCGGGCTTCCTGCCAGCGGGAAGTCTGCTTCTCCCTCTGCCCCCTACCCCCGCTCGTGCTCACATGCACTCGCTCTCGCAAAAATAAATAAATCTTTAAAAAAAAATACAAGAAGTGCAGTGTTAAGGAAGCGAGGGGAGTGTGTGAGTTTGAGGCGAGAGAAGTGGCTTAGAACTGGGGAAAGCAAGGGAGATGTCGCTGAGGAAGTGGCATGGTGGATGAAGTAGTTAGAGCTCCTGGAAACAGGCACGGAAATAGAAGGTGGGAAATCCTCAAGTAGGAGTGCAGGTAGGAGACAGTTCTTTAAGTCGCCTTCCTGATACTCTTTGCTTTTTATAGTTGTTATATCATGTATCAGGACTTTTGTCTTGCACACTTGTATGCATATATATGTGTGTACCTATGTGTGTGTGTCTGTATACATATTTGTTTTATGTATATAATTTTTAAGTATACATATTTTTTAAACACACACACACACACACACAATGATACCAGGCTATGAATGTAGTCTGTTATAGAGGAGTTTTCAAAAGAGAGCCACAAAGAACCATGGAATTTTAAGACCATTGAAGACACAGGTCTTCAGTTCCCCCTACAACATGCAGTACTGGCCAGCTCTTGCTTGCTTACCTCCAGTGTTGGGGAGCTCACTACCACCAGACATCCTCTTTGGGTTTTCCAGTAGTTGAAAGTTCTTCCTTGTATTAAGCTGGATGCTGCCTCCTTGAAATGTGCACCCAGTGGTCCCACATGAACTTTGTGGACACCCCAGGGCCCCTCTGCTCCTCACCAGCACCACCCCTGGCCAGGAAGATTTAGGGTTAAGGATCATTTCCCCCACCTTCACCACATAGTTGTGGTGACAGAGCAGGCTTCTTCCCTCTCATCCGTTTCTCTCTTTCCTTCTAGGGTCTTAGAAACATTGATGACAGGATGTTGGAAGAGTCAAGTCATGCATCGTTTTCCTTGTGAAGAGTTGGAGAAACTGTGTTTGTAGATGACCGCTTTTGTATGTTTTTACAAATTAGATGCAAACTAGATTCCTATGCAGATGTAGTTTTTAGCAGGGCAAGCATTGGGAAACCAGACTGCATGTGGCTTTTTTATACTTTTGAAAGGAATTGCTCTGTGAGAATTATTTTTTAACCTAACCTCTCCCAGGGAAGGTCACCTGGTGGTATGTTTGTAATTCTGAAGGGCTGGAACAAGAAGGCCTGTGTCAGCCATGAGTCTTTACCTCATTTCTCTGTGATTGATTAGTGTGTGTTGTAGGAGGAGGGAGTAGGGTCACACTGTCCTCTGCCTGCTCTCTGACTTGCTGTGTGTCCCCTCTCTGGGCCTTTGTCTTCTCACCTGGGAATGTGGCGTTGGACCAGAGGTTACCCGTGTCCCGTTGAGCCCTGCCATCCTAGAGTAAGATGGCCCTGTGGGAAAAATAGGGGAGGTGTAGTCTTAGCATCCCTTTTAAGTTCCCTCAAAAACAGTTGCCGTGGCTTCATGCTAGGCTGTGGAGCTGGCCATAACTCTTCCTTCCCTGCCATTTTCCCACCTTGAAGAGATGGAGTCCTTGGCTAGGTGTTTGGGGACCAAGATGTCCCCTTGTCAGCAAGCCCAGCATTCTCTAACCAGGTGGGCAGTGGATCCCTGGCTCCTGGGCATCAAACTGAGGAAAGGGGGTCAGAGGCTTCTTTCTTTGGGCTGTGGGATTAGAGTGTAGTAGAATACCTTTTACTTGGAGAGGTTCTGACCTTACCCAGGAATAAGGCTTTCTTTTCTTTTCTTTCTTTCTTTCTCTCTTTCAAGAAGAGTACTTAATATCTGGGTGAAAAAATAGACACCCTAGGGGATTCAAATTTGTTTTTAAGTCAGAATTGGGATCTCATTTGTGTCTCGTCCTTCAAGTTCATGAAACGCTTTTCCATCTGTGGTCACTCCAACTCCAGGACGGCAGGCAGGGCGAGCACAGATGGCCCTCCCCCTTTGCAGAGGAAGAGACCAGGCGCTGAGAGGGACCGGAACTCAGGGCACCTGGCCCTAGTTGGCGCCCTTCCCACGCTGCTGCTCAGGTAATCTCCTAGCTGCAGAAAGGAAGGTGCTGCCAGTTTCAGGGGCCCCAGGGAACCTTACCAAGGTCCTGCTCAGCTTTACAGCACACTCCCAGGCCACTCCCGCTGAGCATTACATTCTGGAGTCCTTTTTGGAATTAAATTTTCTGCCTTTGAGCCTGGCCATTACATATCTGACCTAGTGGGGTAGTATCACCTTCATGTACTACATGGCAGGAGCATGGCCTGGGAATCTAGAAACATGAGGTCCATTTGGGAATTCATCCCTGGCTTGCTGCCTGACTCCAAGCAAATCCCCTTCACCTTCCGGACCACAGTTTTCCTCATCTGAATAAGAAGGGAATGAAACTAGATGGGTGGTTTGCAAACTTTAAAACATCCGGTCCCCTTTCTTTGAATAAGATCAGAGCTGAAGCTGGTTAACTGGAAGCTGTGCTTGTCTGTTGGAGGTTGGGGCTGCAGGGGACCCGCTCACAACCCCCCTAACTCGGCACCACCGACGCCCTCCCCACTCTGCCCCCTGCCCCACCACAGGGTTTCGGTATCCAAGGTCTGCAGCTAAGTCTTCTGGGGTGTGACTAGTTAGGAGAAGACTTGCTTGGGAAGGCACTTAGTGAAACTGTCAGGAGAAGCAGGGATGTAACGGCCCTAGAGAAGGTACTAGAACAATCCTGCATCTGCTGATAGGCACATTCAGTGAAAATCACTTGACCCACCTCACATGAGCCCAGTCACAGTTGGAGAGCTGGGTCTAGACGCAGGGCAGATGGAGCACTTGGGTGACAGAGCTGAACATCGAAACCACAGGAGGCTGGGTTCACAGTGTAAGGATGTGTAAATCATCATCATCATTGTCATGAGCACTCCCCGAAATTTTCACCAAAACCAAAAAGGCAGAAAAACAGGATTGTTCCAACCTCATGACTTTTCAACCAGGAGAGCCCCAGACCCCTCCAGGGGCTGAGAGCACTGTGCTATGGTTCTTGCCCTTCAGAAACATGGTGCCCCCAGAGCCTGTGTTTTCTGCCCTGTTGTCATAAATGTGATGATGTCACATGACCCCTGCGCCTGAAAATAAATGTTTTGAAAGACAGTCTTCGTGGTTTCGTGGTCTCTCTGTCCTTGGAACACTGCTGTGGGTGAGAGCAAGGCCCACCAATATGCCTCCACCAGCCCTGACACATCTTGCCCTTTTCTTGCCCTGAACGCTCCTTCCCCCCTCACACCTGAGTTCTGGTCACAGCCCCACCTGGACACCTGACTCACAATTTTTAACTAGCCCTTATAGCCTCCTGCTGGCCTGATCCTTCCAACTCCCTCAGAACTTGTGTCTCCCACCGGATACGCATCCCAGTATTTCATTCACTCAGAGAACTGCGCCCTGTCATTTCCCACATGCACACGGAGGCCAGAAGGGTGCAGAAATCAATACGAAGGAGGGTGAGACTCAAGTGGGGAGGAGTGGGCTGGGTTGCAGTTCTGCCAGCCAGCACAAGGTGATCAGAGCAGGGGGAAATCTGAGAAGACTTCCTGGACGAGGAGGCATCTAAGCTGGGGATTGGAGTGGGTAGGGGGGATTCTGGGCTAGGGAAACAGCATGCGGAGGGAGCAGGGAAGGAGGGGTGCAGGGTAGCTTGTGAAGGGGAGTTGTGACCTGTGGTGGTTGCCAGGAGCTGTAGCGGTGGGTGGGGGAGAACGGTTTTAGGCCACACCCCTAAGTGCCAGTCAGAGGAGGTCAGACCCGACGCTGCAGGGGGTGAGCGGCCTGAGTCTCAGTCTTCTGTTGTCAACTGAGTTATAACTGGCCCTAAAGGAGATCGTTAGAAAGCCCGTGTTCAATCCTAAATGTACCCCTTTCCCGAAAGAGTCTGATCTTTAGTCAAAATGGATTTTTTTTCTTCAGATTTTATGGTAAAATTAACCCTATATCTTTAAAAAACATTGCCCTCCCCTTTCCCCCAGGGCTGGATGACACAGGAAAAATTAATAAGAATGCGCAAATCAATCGAGGGTGAACTGTCCCCTCTAATGAATTTCCTCGTTCCCAGCCTTTGCCAGGGCCTTCTGAATGTTAAATCAGAGAATGATTCTTATGTGATATTTTAATTAATTAAGGGAAGCTAAAGTGGCTTGGTGTCTGCAGCTGAATAATGAATTCAGAATGTGGGAGCCCCCATCAGCCAGGGCAGAGGCGGAGAGAGAGTGGCTGCCCACACTTGGCTGGGTGGGACTGGCCTCGGTCCCCTGGAGTGTGGGGCTACCTCAGTTCAGCCACGACTGCGTCCAGGGGCTGAGCGGTGTACGCAGCCAGGTGACAGGCCGTGCCCCCTTCTACTCTGCTGTCTTTCTCGTGCCTAAATCTCCCCATGATATTAGGGGCCTGGTTGGCTGTCGAGGGAAGAGGAAAAAAATCATCGTTGGGGCCAGGTAGGGGGGAGCACAGAAGCTTCTCTTACCTCGGCTCATAAACCCACGCGCACACACATCTGCAGAGCACCAGCTCTGCTCCGTGCTGAGGGGCCTGTGGCCGCTCACAAACCCCACAGCCACCGGTGGCATCAAGCCAGGACCTGTCTCTGTGCTGCCAGAGGTACCACAGTCGTCCCCGGGGCAGAATGGGCCTCAGCTTTGGAGTTGAAGACTCAGAGCCAAGGTCAAGCTGTGCCACAGTCCGGAGTCTGGGCCACTTCCTCTACTCTCAGAGCCCGTACTTCCTCATCAGCCCTGTGGTCCTGAGCCTGCCGTGAATGAGTGGACATGCACTGGCCACCCTGGAAGGGACGCTGAGGGCTGTGTGCCAGGTGGCAGGGGCACAGGACGACAGAGCAGACACGCTGGGGGTCTGTGGAAGACACAATCCAGTGGGACATAAAATCAGACCCGGGGCGCCCGAGTGGTTCAGTTGGTTAAGCGGTTAAACGTCTGCCTTCAACTCAGGTCATGATCTCAGGGTCCTGGGATCGAGCCCCAGGTCGGGCTCCCTGCTCAGTGGAGAGCCTGCTTCTCCCTCTCCTCCCCGCTCACGCTCTCTCTCGCTAACTCTCTCTCTCTGAAATAAATAAAATCTTAAAAAAAAAAAATCAGACCCATTTCATTATATGCTAACAAAAAAAAGCCGTCACAGAACAAGACTAAATGAAGGGTGGGCATTATGAGCTCAAAGTGGCCAGAGACAGCATCCTGGAGGAGACGGACCCTCAGCGGGGCTCTGAGAAATTGGACAGAATTTGGAGGGGAAAGAAGAAAGGAGGAAGGAATAGCATGAGCAAGTTTGGAAGGTAGGGAGTAAATGGTCCATGGGAGGATTAAACTATAAAAGTATCTCTGTGAGAAGCAGCGTAATCGTTGGGCACACCATGTCAGAGCTGGGCCAAGCTGTCCGCTGACTGCTGCAGACCTCCCCACAGTACATCTCCCAGCCTCCCCTGGCACCATTGGCTGGGTCAGGTCATTTTGGCCAGTGGACTTAATGGAAGCCAGAACTTTATAGAAGTAGGTGGGGGGCGCCTGGGTGGCTCGGTCGGCTAAGCGTCCAGCTCTTGATTTTGGCTCAGGTCATGGTCTCAGGGTCATGAGATCAAGCCTCATGGCACGTTCCTCACTCAGTGGGGAGTCTGCTTGAGATTCTCTTTCTCCCTTTCCCTCTGCTCTTCACCTGGTGCTTACACACTCTCTCTCTTTTTTTAATTTTGAGGTTTTTCTTTTTATTTGATTTATTTATTGAGAGAGAGAGAGAGAGAGAGCACATGAGAGGAGAGAGGGTCAGAGGGAGAAGCAGGCTCCCCGCTGAGCCGGGAGCCCGATGTAGGACTCGATCCCGGGACTCTGGGACCATGACCCGAGCCAAAGGCAGTCGCTCGACCAACTGAGCCACCCAGGCGCCCGACTCTCTCTTTCTAAAAAATTAAAAATTAAAAAAAAGTAGGTGGGCCTATTTCACACTCTCATCCCCATCTACCAACTGACAGGGAGGTCTCTAAGGACCCACGCAGGGGTTTTCACTTGGGGCTGTGGACCCCTAGGGACTCTGTTGATAGATTCATGGGGCCTATGAGCCTCTTGAAAGTGTGCAAAATTCTGTGTGGATGGGCATGTGTGCAGTTTTTTTCTAGTAGCTTTCATTAGCTTCTTAAAGGAACACAGAACAAAAATGGTTAA